CTTCTTGTGTGTCGGGCACCATCACCATATCGACATCTTCCTTTTGGCTTGACAGCGGTACATCTGGTTCTAATTCCGAGGCGGGTCGTTTCAACGGCGACGACGACCTCTGCGGCATATCTTCTGCGCCACCCATGATCGCCCTATGCCGTGGAGATTTTCCTCGTTGCTCTGATTCGAAAGCCTCGGAAGGAAATCGTCGTCGAGTTTTATTGCTGGTGACTTCCCCGCCTTTATCGCTATCTAAAGATAGATCCGCGTAGGCGCCAGTTGGAGAACTCGCGGCAGAAGGGATATGATCGCCGTTAATGAAGAGGGAAGACGGTAGGCGATTTGAAGGTATGGTATGAGGAGGGAGAGATTCTGCACGGTGGATTTCCTGGGCAGAAGTGTCGAACAAAGGCAGATCGGTGGGGGATTGTGATTCGCGACCTTCCACCGACGATATGGGGAAATCAGGGCCTCTATCGGTTTCTATGCCAGGTACGATCTGCGAAGAAAGCTTTCTTTTCTTTGTGGAAGACGTCGTGAAAGCGAGCAGCCTTTGCCGCTCTAAATTCGTAGATGGTAGAAGAATCCAATGTATTGTTCGTCAGCATCGAAGGTTCCGTAATGCGACTGTATGATTCCGAAAAAGTGCAGGTGGGTGGGTAGGTGGGTTGTTAATTTTTTTTTTTTAGGTGAATTTGGAAAAAGGAATGACTGTGACTGAGATCATTTGTGCATTCGTATCGTTGTGAGATATTTTTTCAAAGAAGGAAAAGACTTGATATTCTGATCTTTGTGGAAAATGCAATGAAACGCACAATTTTGAATCCTTTTTACGTACGTACTAGGTAGGTTAGGTAGTGGTAGGTGTGGTGGTATTGGTGGTAATGGTGGTAATGGTGTTGGTGGTGGTAATGGTGGTGGTAATGGTGTTGGTGGTGGGAGGTCCTTGCCGCATGCATGGACTGACTCCCCAGTCCAGTGTGGTGGTGGTCTTTAGTTACCTAAGTTTAGCGATTACTATAGGTAGGTATTCCAAGGTTGTTAGTATACATAATACAGTCTATTATATAGGTAGCTAATGAATCACTTCTTCGCGGAATATATTGAATATATTGAATATATACAATATATACAATATATACAATATATACAATATATACAATATATACAATATATACAATATATACAATATATACAATATATACAATATATACAATATATACAATATATACAATATATACAATATATACAATATGTACAATATATACAATATATACAATATATACAATATATACAATATATACAATATATACAATATATACAATATATACAATATATACAATATATACAATATATACAATATATACAATATATACAATATATATAATATAATACAATATATACAACATAATACACATTACAATCACCACTTAAGTCTTACCTAATCTCATCACAAATCCACAGAGTAGAGTACTTCTTCAAACCACTCCGATTTCTTTCTTTCCATTAGGATTATGGAAATCATCCCAGCCAACTCAAGGTTACCAGATTGACCGTACTGTCTCTGTATCGTCGCTGCTTATATCAATTCCTAACATTCATTTATTTATTTATTTACTGTTTTAGAGCACACAAAAAGTATAAAGGTATATAGATAGGTATATATGTTCCCAGTTCGATTACTATTCATCGTCTCGATGCAATTTTCTAATTTAGTTCTCTGTATACCATTCATTGCCAATGAACACCAATCAATGCCAACAGCCAACAGCCAATTGCAAAATACAGAACTCCAAAGATAACTCCCCTAATTACCCACCCCCAACCCCCAAACTACCACTTTCAATACCCATCCTCTCTTGAAATATCTATCCTACATCGATTCCGAAAATAAACCACCGTCCTAGACAAGCACCTCATCTGGATCAGTCTGAGATCCAGTTTCTGCATACTCAATCATCTCCACATCCGACTTATGTGTGGCTTTCTTCCCACCTGCCATTTCGATATCCTTCAACTTAATTCCAGCCTTCTCCATCTTCTGCATGTTCTTCTCCATTCCATCAAAGACTTCATCTTTAAGAGCCTCGACCTCTTTCTTAACCATCTTGGTCTGCTCCTTGATGGCTTCAACTTCTTTCACCACCTTTTCAGAATCCCCTTCCTCCCCATCCTCATCCTCCTCACCACCATCGCCTTCTTCAGCCTCCTTTTCTTTCTTCAACTTCTCAATTTCCTTTTCCAACTTTGCTTTCTCCTTCTCTCTCTTCTCTCTTTCCTCACTCTCCTTCAACTTCGCTCTCTCTTTCTCTTCCTCTCTCTCCTTCACCCATTGTTCCGCTCCCTCAACAGCATCTTCCGCATTTCTCTTATGCTTCAACAAGTAACCTTGAATTTCCGCTGGACTGAACTTTGCTTCAGGAACCTTCTCACTAAAGAGCTTGGCTAATCTTGCTATTCTCTCTTCATCCTCGATCCTTCTTTGCTCCTCTTCCGCCGCAATGATTCGATCTAATTCTGCCTGTATCCTCCTTTCTTTCGAAGGACTTCTAGGCTTCTTCTTGTGCATACCCCGCTTGTTGACTGGCACAACACTACCCGGACTTCTCCCTCTAGAAGATCCTGATTTGACACTTCCGCCGTCAGAAGATCCACTTTCAGAGCTCTTGAGCTCAGGATAGTCTCCTTCAAGAGTTGCATAGATACTTTTAAAGATTTGTTCCATGTTTTCCTTAGTAGCCAAATCAAAGTGAACTGTCATGTCAACTCGGCCAGGCCTGATAAGTGCCTCGTCTAACTTTTCAATGTGATTTGTCGTCATGATTAGAATTCTTCCTTCTTGCGATGCAACTCCATCAATCACATTGAGCAATGCACTCAAAGAGATCTTACCCGGTTGATCCTTCCCGCCACTTTTCTTTGTCATGGCCTCCATAGCTTTAGTTGCTTTAGTCAATGGAGATTTAGGACCAGCCTCTTCATCAAATTCAAAACTCTCCTCGTCTTCGACATCGTCACGGGTGTGGGTAAGACCAGCTGTATCGATATCTTCAAGAAGTACAACACACTGCTTGGGAAGCTCAGCGAAGAGTGTACTGAGGGTTTCTTCATTCATCGAACCGGAATTCAAAGAAACGATGTAAATCTTAAGCTTGAAGTATCCAGCAATTGCGAAGCTAAGAGAACTCTTTCCTGTGCCGGGTGGCCCATGGAGTAAATACCCACGACGATATGGAATACCACGATTAGAATACCATCGCTTCGTGTATGGATGCAGGTAATCTTTCATATCGGCAATGATATTCTGCTTTACCACTTCATCGAGGACAACCGTAGAGAAAGGGCGAGAGGTGCGGGAAAGAAGACGAGTCCAGCCTGGCTCACCGAAGGAACCGCCCTTGGCACCGCCTCTGTAGATGATGGTTTTATTTTCATCATTTTTGATAAAGGCTTGGCGACACTCATCAAGTAACTCCTTGAGGATTCGAGGGTTTCTTCCAAAGGAAGAAATTGAGATTTCCTCCCTTTCACTCGCAGCTGAATTGTTTAATGATGCAGTCTGCGAACGTCTGAATTGCAACAGTCTCCTCTTGTACCAAAAGTAATGAGTTCCGAAGCTTGGTGTGAATCGGACTTTCTTCTCCTTTTCAGATGCTTTCTTGGGAACGGGATTTCCATCTTCGTCGATCTCAAAGTCATCATCATCTTCCTCTTTTTCTTCATCATCCTCATTAAAGTTCCACATGAACCACATACGACTGTTCAGATTGGTATTTGCGACAAAATGACGAGATCGATGCGCAAAAGGTTGTTCAGATATCCATGCCATTACCATGTTATACATTTCATCGTCGATGCGAACATCAGCAGTTGACATGAAATGAGCGTCAAGCTCAACCCAGAACCATGCTTCGAGATATTGCCAACAGAATACTAGCATACCCAGGATCATGAGCATGGGGATGTAGATGTTGAGGTCGATGGCAGTGTAGTTCTTTAGAGCAGTTGAGAAGAGTGAGAATCCCGGAAAAAACATGTCGATTATATGGGGTTGTGAGTAGCCATAGGTTGCCTGCCCGGTGGTATCCCCAGCTGGATGATGTCCAGGGTTCCCCATCGTGTCGTGAGGAACGGAGCCGTTCATGTTGGCGATGAACTCTGATGAGTACTCGCAGTCTGGTATAGATGCAAGACTCTAAATATATAGATATTGTAAAGAGAGAGGAAATTCGAACTAGTTTGTATGACCGTAGAGTCACAAGTAGTTTACGTAAAGGAGGGCCTCACCTCGCTGACTAGGTAGCAACACTTGTTTATTTTTTCAGGTGAGAATGTAATGAGAAAGCAGATAGTGATATTACCGATAGAGTCATGAAATGATGAACTTTATATTCAAAAACATGTTGGCAGTTGGATATCTCGTCGCTCTGTTTTCCCAACAGGCATGAAGTCAAACGGTCTTAACCGATTAGACCCTGTTGTTTGCTGTGGCTGTTGAAAAGACCTAGTGAGGCTTAGCATCTGACTTCAGTGCGCTTACGGCCACATCATTGGCCACGACCCTGCTGATTAAAATCAATCTTGGATGTTTGTGAAAAAGGCTTGACTTTTGTAAGAACCTCACTGCATATTGCCATTGCGTATGTGGTGGCACACCATATTGCGTGGAGGCTCAAGTCGTTGAACGGTGACTACTCGTACAACAGCTCCAGCCTGCCATGAGATTCATGCAATAATTGACACACTGAGGAATGCTCATCTGATTCAACCAACTAGGTAATCTTCTCGTGGATATCCTCTCTACTTCCATATTCGCACTCGGTGAAGAATTGTTCAGCCCCACAATTCGGCCAAGGAGTCAGTCGTTCATAGGCATAGAGAGCAAAAGTCTCAACTAATGTCTTTCGCCGTCCAATGACTCCATATAGCTAGGTATATTAGATACTAATGGAGTAAAGGTTTGGGCGGGGATGCGTCACTCGAAAATGTATGTCTTGATTCTTTTTGGCTCAATCCAAAGAAGTTGCGAGCGGCTTGGTCGACAACTGGACAATTTTGATCCAGCTTATGTAAGCGCGCTTCTCTAGAGAGCTGCCCCTCGACCCCACAATAGGTAAACGCTGGCCGCTCACCTGCTGTTCTGCAATCATAAGGATCATTCCCCCGTCCAACAATTGTAAGATTCCGGACAAAAAGGCCATTTCAACCACAAAACTGGAATGCTGCGCAGACCCGCGCGGATACGTTTGACTTTCTTTGAAAACACACAGTGTTGTTGAGTTGCCTTGTGTATCCCACTGATTCCCCAAAGAGACTTCGACTTTTAATACCCACCAACCCACCGGGCGTTTTGTAATCATTGCAAAAATCACCCCGTCATTATCCACGAGCACCATACCAATGTCCAGTTCAGCATATCCGTCCGAATCCCACTCGACGTTCTGTATGCTAACTCCCTTTTCGCCATTTTCTCTCATTGCTGCGACGTTCATGTTCATTTGCTGCGATGTCTCGTCGAACAATACAAATTCTCGATCTGCATTGAAAGGTCACAGGATGAATAGACGTGAAGGGATGAAAATGGTGTATGGCCTTCAAACTATTCCCGAGGAATGACATGTTTGCAGTGCATTTGTCAAAGTCTCGTATATTGTTTAGACTAGCCTCTCAACACACCAATATCTCCTAACATAAAGAAGCTCCCAGTCTCCCAGAGAACGATCAGCAGCTCTACCTTGAATACGCTCAAAACATTGAATCGACTTGCCAGGGTCTTTCTTGATGTCACGGCCCAAGTTCTGAGGCATAACTTGACTGCCCTACTTCGAGGCGAGGGTTCTAGTTGGAGTCCATTCCAAATGCAACCCTCTTCTTTGCAAGTTCACTTCTATCATTGATGTCAAACTTAAGCTGTGATGCAGTTGATAAGCGATCACATCTGACCCTAGCCTAGTTCTACGGTTGGTATTTGGTCTTCCGATGCGGTAACATCCATGATCCTGGGTGCAACTGGTGAATGGAGGAAGTAAGAGCCAGTATCACAGAATCAAGGGGACCTATGAGCAGGAACGAACGGGAATGGTCAGAGGACAAATAAAAGTCAATGGCAAAGACTAAAAAGAAAGCGTACCATACTATGAGAGTTACCCTGGATAATTTGAAAATTCGTACTAATATTTCGAGATCTATTTTCATCTTCTGTCTTCTATGCATACAGTAAAAGTCTTGTATCTAAATCCGTCTTGTTTTATCTTCCACGTCATGATCATATATTTTACAGATGGAGATTTCGAATATCCATGCACCCAATTCCCAAAACCCTTCGTATGCTGTACGCATCATGCATCTATTCATATCCATACAATTACATCCTTTTAAATCAATGCCTTGCCCTCAAACATGCCGTCTCTGACTTCCTTAACCACATCCCTTCTATCTCCCTTTCCGACCAAAACTATACCTCTTCCTCTCTTCCCCATACGTCCAGTTCTGCCCAGTCTATGGATAAAATCAATCGTAGAGTGTGGTACATCATATAGAATGACATGTCTTACAGCTACAGTATCGATACCTCTCGAGCCCAAATCTGTAGTAACCAAGACTTTAGTATTAGGTAATTGTCTCTTGACTGGAGGAGCGACCTTTCCGAATGGTACGTAATTCGGTTGATTATCTGATAAAGATCCAGGGTGAGAGTCTGGTTTCGGCATGCTGAGTCTGGCGGGCGAGGTGAAAGATGCCAACATCTCACTCTGGCGTTCCTCAGGAGTATCACGAGAAAGGGCGATGGCATCTATACCCTTCGATTTGAGATAATCCGCTACCTCTTGGGTTTTCTCCCGCTCATTAACGAACACCAAGATGCGCTTGACATCCATTACTCCTTTGACGGGCCCATCGTGTTCAGCAGCCGCTTTACCAATAGTCCAGATAGTGTCTGCGCAAGCGAGATTCTTATTGTTACGATATGGGTCACGTTCAACATCGACAACGCCGAGTTGGACACGTCGAGGGATAGCGTGAAGGTTTGGTGTGACTAGACGATTAATGGAGGGGAATCGTTTGCGAAGGAATGAGTCGAGAGAGCGAGGAATAGTTGCAGAGCATAGAACGAGTTGTTCGAGCGATGGAGTGGCGCGATCGATGATTGCTGATGTTAAGGGGGAGAAGCCTCGGTCCAAGAGAGAGTCGGCTTCATCAATTACAAGATGAGTGACGCGAGATAAAATGTTTGGGTCGGAGTCGGCAATAGAGGAGAGAAGATGGGGGGTAGATACAAGTACATCAATTCCAGATGGAGAGAAAAGACGGTTACGAATGACCTTCCCGGAGAAATTAGAGGAAATCATGGCCGATTTGAATTTAACAGTATGCCCAAACGCCTTTACAAGTGTCCCCACCTGGGTTACCAATTCAGATGTAGGCACAAGTATGATTGCTCTCGGTCTGCCTGTCGTAGGATGTGGCATATTTGATAGAGGAGGTGAGACCAGTGTTAAGTTATTTTGTCGTAATTTCTCTTCTTGTAACTCTTTCTCATAGGCCTCGATCTCCGCATCCTTAGCCTCTGCGATTTTGATTGCATTTATCGTTGGTATTAAATATGACAATGTTTTCCCTGACCCGGTCTCAGCAGCAATCAAAAACTGCTCACTCTCACTTTGCTTTCCCTTCTTCTGCTGTTGATTCCCAAGCAAGGCCGGTACAGCAATCCTCTGCACCGGTGTCGGAACATGGCTTTCAATTCCTGGAAGAGCCTGTTTGTAGATTGCTTCCTTCACACTGTCTAACAGGGCAAATCGCTCGAAGCTATCTAGTTCCTTTATCCTATCCTTTATATCAGACCTCCTTGTGTATGAAACAGGCGAAAGAGCCCTTTGCATCTTCAATGCGTGAAATCCTCTGCTCTTCTTATCATCTTTATCCCCGCGATCGAGCCTCGATGAACGACGTTCTTGTGCTGCTGATGGTCGTTCTGGAACTCCACGAATTTTCGCCTCTCGTAGATTCATTCCCCCAAACGGTCCATCTTGCTTTCTCCTTGCAGGTCCCTCTTTTGTTGGCGACGAGCTAACTTTTCCTGCGCCCGCCAGACTCATGCGATTTGGTCGACTGGGTAGTCTAGATCTCATGGACATAGATCTGCTAGGCCATTTTTGAATCGGTGGGGTTTGAGCTGCTCTGAATGAACAGAGCAGACATGTTGTAGGTTTCTGCCGGAGCATAATAAATACAAATTACTTTGAATGTATCAATAAATTTTTTCCCGCTGCAGGTGTTGATTAATTATCCATGAGAAATTATTCTGTGCTGGCAGAATTAATTGGTTGACGGCAAAAGTAAAGGCGGTGAAATGAGAAAGATTACTGGGATCACGAGCTCGTCCTCGTCCTTGTCCTTGTCCTTATCTACCGGTGACTTCTTGATAATCTGTACTTCATAAAGTACTCGTCAATATACGATAGTTACAAGCAGTCCGGATTGTTTTTGTTTTTCTGTTTTTAAATCAGATTTACCCTGAGATTCGACTTTGGCAAGATATATCGACGAGTTTGTATTACTTTCCGATCATGAAAAACTCTGTTTGCATGCGCAGTTTCTTGAATATAAAATATAAATGCTCTCAAAACCCTCAAAAAGTTGTATCTTCATGGAGTTACTTCTGTTGATACTAAGAGTCCCTATTTAGACCGAACTCAAGTAACCTGGAATACTTCGCACCAATCGATGTTACATCTCACCAATTTCAATCATATTTGAGAGAGTGCAATTTTGAGCAAGTCGCTATCATGGATCCATTAGTAAATAGGTATTGATACACTTCATCCTAACCACTTTCAAGTTATTTCTTTCAGCCTCCTTTGATTTATATAGGCAATCTGTACACTTTATCAGAGACGCGCTCACTGTCAATCTCTAAAATTTATCACTCCTTTGGGACTTGCCTTCGCGATGATTTGCACCTATTGCAGCCGTACTTTCCTGTTGAACTTTAGGAAGTTGAATTACACTCGCGGTTTTGAAATGGGGTTTTGCTTTTCGATTCTTTTCCTCTCAAAAATCCCGGCCAAGGATTCCAAGGCTCGAACTCATCCAGTCTCTTACATTATAATTTTGATCATCAACAAGTCCTCGATATGATGACCACTGACGCGACGCTTAGCAGGGTTTTTGTCATAGGCTGCAGACAGTTCGCTTTACTTTAGACCTATTTTTTTTTAACTTGATTACTGACAATCCCTAGTGATCTTACTCTACAGACTTCCTTCTCTTGGTCCATCAGATTTTGTTCAGCACAGATTTATGCACCCAATCGTGAAATTAAATGTGAATGTGGTACATCAATCTATTTTTGCCGCAGGCCGAGTTATATCAACGAAAGACCACTGCCACCACCCACGAGAGAAGTTGTGTACGATCTTGACAAAGATGGAGCTAGTGATTGTTGGCACCATTTTGTAACTCTCTTTTCAAGTTTCAAATTCCAGCATGCTTCAGAGTTTGTAACCACGTTCCACATTCACATTGCTTCGCAGGAGTCTCCAGCAGCTCAGAGTAGTAGTGGAATGTATTCTAAGCTTCTAGCTTTCAGTATCCTGAAATGGTTCAGCATTGACATGATCAAGTATTCCAAGTGGATTCAGGATTGAAAGGGAGTCATTCTCAGACTGCAGTCCGAACCACTCAAGATCCTGTTTCTCAATTGGCAATTTCTGACTCTCTCTATAACAGTTATTTACTTGCAGCATCTGGCATAGTCCACTGTTTCTCGTGGTACTTTTTAAACTCCAATGCACAACTCGGACAGTTATATCTCGCTGGGCTGTGGACGTGTAACCTTCCGAGTGACCTCTGCTGGTGGGTTAAGGTGATTGAAGACCATTGTGTTCCTTCAAGAGCGAAACCGTACAGGGCTCCTACTTGGTCGTGGGCTTCTGTCGATTTTGAAGGAAAATCACCTTGTAGCCCGGTTGTTTATCATTCAAACTTTGGTGAGAAGTTTGAACAATCTGCAAAATTCTGTATTCATCATGCTACGACTCAGATGGCACCATCAGCCGTGGGAAAATACGTGTATGGTCCAGTTTGTGATGGATTAATACGAATCAGATGCATCCTCATTGCAGCCCAGATCTTTACGCACCCATACTTGGAATTTGACGCAAGACATACGACTCAATTCTTAGAAGCAGATGCATTAGACGAAGACTACGATCCTTATTTCTGGCCAAATGTCTATCTCGACGTTCAGGGTTCCTTTGAACCGGCAATGAGTAGGCCCTTCCCGGCCGCTAATATCCTTGACTTGCCCATCACCGGAGATCTTGAGGACAAGGGGTTTCTTCTGAGCGAAGACGTGGTTGAAGATAAGACCCAAGAAGATTATTTGTGCTCAGATACAAAAGTATGGATTTGTATGGTGGGAAATATTGTTGACGGCGGAATATGCGCACTTGTATTGAAAGAGCGTGAAAAGGCAATTTTTAGACGGTTTGAAAGAGTAGGATATTTGCACAACAGGGTTGGAGCCGTTGGCTCTGAGAACTACGGCTGGCATAACAATTTTATGCGAAGGGTCGAGAGGACGGGGGGGATAGTCATTGAGATAGTCTAAGATGGCAAGCAACATCATGCTTGAGCTGTCAAACTGAGCACACGCAAAGACTATCACGACGACGATGCATTGTTTCTACCAGCCCCAATATTCGTTGTGGCCTTTCCAGCACCTACCAACCCCATGGAATACAAAAGCTTCATCCCACATGACTATCTGTCATTATAGACCTTAGCTTTAGTTTCAATAAGCATACACTCATTAGACATTCTACATCATTCTTCATGGTCTAGTCTAGACCGAGACTCAACAAATCAAAACAGCCTCCCTTGCTTACGTACATGTAACTCAATTCGTCATCCCAAGAAATTAAAGACTGAGCATACCAATGATCTCCTAGTTTTGAAGATGTTTTAACTTGATATAAGATTTCAGAGAACTTGAGAAGGAATGCTTTGGCATGCAGTGTTTCGTACATTGTGTGGGGCAACAGTTTCTTGCAAGTTGCATCCACTACCCCAAATCGTGAAACTTTTCGATACCCAGAGCGAAAGACATAAAGTACAATATCAATCGGTACCGAGTGTCATAGATAGAAGGTGGAAACGCCCCGCAAGGTAATATCTCAGAATGAATGAAAAGGTCCCGTGGAGACGGAGTGTACATGTAACTGTTACGAACTTGCGCAACGCAACTTATTTGTTTGTACTGTGGCAATACGAGGTGAAAAATCTACATGTTACAGATTAGTTACATTCTTTGATACTGAGTTTTTTTTTACCTTGGTTTTGATCTTAACCTTATAGATGATATCACTACCAGGAAATGTACAGCCATGGAAAGTTATCGAAGGTCGAGCGAACTCTAACAATCCTGATCTAGATATCGCAAACGACCTAGGTAGACGGGCAAACATATCAATGATGCTCTCGGTGTGTGCAGTACAGCACAAAATGCTTCGGGAGGAATGCGGATACGAGATAAGTGAGATAAGAATTCTTTTTTATGAAGTATCTTTTGTATCTTTTTCCCTTTCCAGCCCGATCGGTCTGTGCAAGTTCTACATTCTATGATGTTTTACCTGGGACCTCAAAGTTACCCGTATTTCTGACTAGACTAAAGCTAAACTAAGCTAGTTTGTTTGTTGGGCTCAGATCCATTTTCGCTTCCGCAGATCATCAATCTTCTCCACGTGCGAACAACTGAACAATTGAACAACCAAACAACCACAAACAACCAAACACCCAAACACCCAAACAACTAAGATCCTCATGAGAATCTGATCAACACCACAGAACAAATTGAACCTTGGAAGCTTACTCAGATTGAGACTTGTTGTACAGGATCGATGTGTCAACATCTACTCTGTACACGTCTTGCATTGATTTTATCATCCGTTCTGTCCTGCCATGCGTTCAACTGATAAACAAGAAGATACGCAGGGAAGAACCTCAGCTCTTTTTCATTCAAACAAACTCTTTGATTCATCAATCCTGAAACATATCTGTGGATCACATCAAGATATGCCCAGAGCCATACCGGATCTTTATTTATAGCTTCGCTAGTGCCAGTATATTCGAGTAAGAGCTGAAACTAATAGAGTTCGGTGCTCGGTCGTTTTGGTTTCCGATTCTCTGCTCTCTTCAAATCTTTTATTCCTTTTTCTCCCTCACAGCTTCAGAATCTAATGAAGAGCTTCATGGATCAACCAATGAGATTGAAAGTTCACGATTCGGTGTCTGATTTATCCGCGATTTCAAATGACCAATTTATGAAGTAGTTGAAATCTAAGGCCCCTTCTGCACGGTCAGCAACCTACGCACACCCAGCCTGCTGTTATTTTGAAGCCAAAGTCCATATCTGGTAAAGGTACAATCCAATAGTTCAATCTGCACAGGACGAAAATCATTTACTACCTGCTCGATCCCACGTTCTTTTCCTGATTCTGTATACCGCAAATTTGCGTCCCCACTAATTGCACACTAAATTTCGTATGCTGATCGAAGACATGGCTTCACCCGAGAAGAAGGAACCGTTATACGAGTTCCCTTATAATCCAGAAGATTACGATTACCATTATTATCTAGACATTCCCTATGGATACGACGTGGAAACTTCGACTTACAATTCAGCATTAGAAACGGCGCACGATTTCACATCGTCAATATACGAAGACTCCTACGAAGGAAAGATGGAGAGAAGAGATAGCTTGGAGCTGGAAGCTCTGCATTCACCACGTTCTTTATATACTACTCCAGAATCATCCCCCATAGGACCGTCACAGATGGAAAGGCAACTGAGTACGAAAAGCACAAAGAGTTTTAAAAGCACGCCAGGGTTATTCAAAATGATGTCAATCAGGAATTTAAAACGGTCCCCTCCTCCAGAACCGCCTTCAAAAAGTATCCGTGATACATACCCGGAAATTTTCGCAATGACTTCAGAGGAATCGCTTGCTGCGTCTTCGAAGCCTTCAAGGCCATTTTCAGAAGAAACGCTTGCTTCATCTCTGAAGCTCTCAAGGCCAGTGTCAGAAGAAATCAAGGTACCAGTGGAAAAGAAGGAGCTTGCAGGTCCACCGGGACCTCCAGGTCCTGGAGGACCAGGTGGACCTGGGGGACCACCCAAGGAGATCTTCCCAGAGATGGATATGGAAAATAATTTAGTAGGATGGACAGGACAAGATGATCCAGCTCATCCAAGGTATGTTTGATTCGACAGTGCATGGTGATCACACTTATACTGACCCGAAAAAGGAATCTTCCGGATAAAAAGAAATGGTTGATGCTGGCGTCTGTCAGTCTGATTACATTCTTGAGGTACGTTTACCTAATAATGATTTTATGTCGCATCTTAATTGACCAATTATAGTCCTCTATCTTCATCGATTGTAGCACCTGGAATTACACTCATGAATCGAGAGTTTGGTACCACTTCCGATATACTAGATACCTTTGTTGTCAGTATGTTCATTTTTGGATTTGCGGCCGGGCCGCTTGTTTTGTCGCCACTGAGTGAAATTTATGGACGTCAACCAATTCTCATGTATTGCAATTTCTTACTGACGATATGGTAAGTCTAACACTTGTCATGTGCTTGTCATTCAATTGAAACATTGCTCATACAACCCCACTACAGGCAACTCGGATGCGCACTTGCTCCAAACATCCACCTCCTCATCCTCTTCCGCTTCTTTGCAGGCTTAGGAGGATCTGCCTGTCTCGCTATTGGTGGCGGTGTCGTTGCAGATTTATTCCCAATCCAGCAACGTGGTAAAGCACAAGCTATGTTCGTCATGGGACCACTCTTCGGCCCTGTCCTCGGTCCCGTGATCGGAGGATTCATCGCCCAACGTGCGGGATGGCGCTGGGTGTATTGGGTCCTCTTGATTGCTTGTGCCTGTCTTTCCATCTTCTACGTGATCGTCGGGAAAGAAACATCCGCCCCCGTCCTCATCCGTCGCAAAACCGCCGCTCTCCGCAAGGAAACTGGAAATGAAGCTCTCATATCCGCATACGATGCCAAGAAACCACCTGCTGCATTGAAAATCAAAGCAGTCCTTCTCACGGGTATCGCAAGACCCTTCCGCATGATGTTTTCTTCTCCCATCCTGCCCATGCTTGCTTTGTGGATGTCTTTCATCTTTGGACTCATCTATCTCCTCCTCACATCCATCGCGCAAGTCTTTGAACAGAACTACGGATTCTCCATCGAAATCGCCTCGCTAGCATATCTAGGTCTCGGTCTTGGTTTCTTCCTTGGCATGTTCACAGTTGCCAAAACATCAGATCCTACCATCATTTCCTTAACCAAGAAAAATAATGGTGTATATCAACCTGAGTTCCGTCTCCGCAACGGTCTCTTCTTTGCTTTTTTCATCCCCGGTTCCTTCTTCTGGTACGGCTGGTCCTCCTACTACCGCGTCCATTGGATCGTTCCAATTCTCGGCTTGATACCTTTTGGGTTCGGAACCATGGGTGTGTTTGCTGGTATTCAAACGTACTATATCGATACGGGAAAACAATATGCAGCATCTGCCATGGCTGGTCTCACCGCCATTCGATGCTTGTTTGCGGCGTTCTTGCCACTGGCAGGTCGGCCGTTGTATAATAATTTGGGATTGGGTTGGGGAAATAGCGTTTTGGGATTCATCGGGCTGGCTCTAATTCCAGCGCCGTTTTTCATTTATAAGTATGGTGCGAAATTAAGGGAAAGATATCCTGTTAGAGTTGATTAGGTTTATTACAGGAAACGGCATCATAGCCACGGTTTGTATAATTGCTATAATTCTTTTCTTTCTTTCGTTGGATGTTGGAGTATGCACGGCGTGTATGATGGATGGTGTTAATGATTTGCATGAAGAGCAAAGAAAAGTATATACGAATGATGGCTCCACAGTACCAATACCCTCCTTAGAAGTTAGTCATGTTTGTTATTACTCGGTTTTTATATTGCGGAGTGAAAAGAAATACTATAATATAGCAAAATAGAACAATCACTTAATTTATCTTGCGTTTATAACTTGAAAATTGTGCAGGTGAGTAGATAGGCTTACAGAAATCTAGTATGGATTAAACCCAAATACATCTTCGATAAATAGTCTCACATAGTCACTTTTGTATACAGAAAGTGTTCTCAAACCGCAATAGAACACGATTCCATTGTTTTGACAGGTCATTCTCGCAAGTGAGCCTATAGAATTTCATAACTGTGACAATCTTCACATCACTGCTTGCGTCCCTACTGTTCAAGATCGATTGTGACTCCCAAGTGACATCCAAGTAGACACAACCAAAACCTTGGGACAGACTAGAACTGAAGGACACCTCGATTGTCAACTTTAGATCCCGCACAAGTCATGTTGTCTTTGGATGTTGGTACAGCAACAACCCCTGTGTTCCAACGCTATGGCTTGAATGTGGTCTGGAAAAAATGAAAGTCATGGTGAAGTATGATCGACATAGCATTGAGATATATGAGTTCATTTTCTTTCCATCAAACAAGGTATGGAGCGAACAACTCAGGTATTAGATCAATGGGACTGAAAATTGGATGAACAGAACAACGATGAAAGTATAGTAGCTTGTTCAAATGAGATCGCAATGATCATCAAATATTGTCATTTTGTCTAAGCAAGCTTTCATCAGAAATGGCAACTTGCCTATAATTATGCTTTTCCCTACACCATATAAACGCCATTTTATGTCCCAAACTCCATTCCCCTTCAGCACTTCCAAGTACAAGATGTCCCCCTAAGAAGTCGCAAAAAGCGTATCCTCATCTCTCAAATACTCTCCAGCATCTGCCTGTCTGAAACAAACAATACCGGTAGGGTCCAATCTTCTAGCTTCTTGTGTACTTCTCGCCGTAACCCCAAATCCCAATGGTGTGTCGTTCATACTGTAAACAACCACACCCTGATGCTCAGGACAATCTTCCGACCACCTTCCAACATGCGCTTTCACAATGTGTCCACCGTAGAGAAATGGCATTTCTCCATTGGCCTTAACCCAGACCTTGTAGCGGGCGTGTTCAGCGAGGATAGGGAGCGCGGTGATGTGAATGCGGAATTTGCCTGATTTTGTGAATTTTCCTGCGAGGGATATGTTAGATATGGCATCCATCTTTGCAACGTGGGAATTGAAACACATACCGAGACAGATTCCTAATGACAACAACTTGTCTCTAGAAATAGAAGTCGCAAGGTTTGCGAGCGATAATCGTACATAGTAACATCTTGATTGTTGAACGCGGAAAACATATCGATCAGCATTTGGGGTGTTGTCCAATGGCGCAATCAGATTCTTCAACGAGTTTCCCGTATAGCCCGCCAATTTGGCGAAGAGAGTTTGAGTTTCTGGTTCAGTGAGAGGACGCATTTTGGAATTGTGGCGGTGGGATAATAATTGTTCGTGAAGTTTGCGAGATGGAAGTTGAAGCTCTAGATTGCAGAGATCCTGTGAATTTTTTTTGGCAGGCCTACCTACTGATAAGGCTGGAAACTTTTTTTTTTGCGGGTGAGCGTGCGGCCGCTTGGTGCCCGCTTCAGAATATTTTCGACAGAACCCTGGTATGAACTTTTTTTCGATCGATAACTTTCATACAATACAATTTTCCTATCACGATTAGTTTTTGCGACATTAGTAAAGATGGCAAAAGTACCAGCAGTCAAGAGGCGCAAGCTGACACCTCCGCCAAATGAGGGAGAAGATTCGTCTCCGTCGACTTTAGAGAATGCGCCAAATTCGAATGCGTTTTTCAAGACGGCTTCGAAATGGAATTTAGAACAGGATTACGAAATGAGACCGCGCAAAGGAAAGAAGGACAAGAAAGAAAGTACAAGATTGCCAATTAAGACTAAAGAAGGATTAATTGAACAAGTGGAAGCGCCAGTGGAAGTTAACGAGGAGGAAAGCGATTTGGAATGGATTGGTGCGGATGATGTTGAGGAGGATGAGGAGCCCGAAGAGAAGGTCGAGAAAAAGCCTTCTGTGCCGATACGACAGCAGATTCTCGAAGCAAAGGAGGAATTGGCACGTATAGCATTGATGTTGAATGAGGATCCGGAAGAGAATGTAGGAGCATTTAGAGCCATCGCAGAATTGGGAAAATCGCACAACATTACGATCAAGAAATTGGCATTGGCTACTCAATTGGCTGTTTATAAGGATGTTATTCCAGGATATAGGATACGACCTTTGTCGGAAGATAATATGGAAGAGAAAGTTTCGAAGGAGGTGCGAAAGTTGAGGGCGTACGAACAGGCTCTTGTGGGAGGATATCAAGGATATGTGAAGGAATTGGGCAGGCTCGCGACAGCTGGAAAATCTCAAAAATCGAGTGATGGCGGCGCAGGTCTTTCGACGGTTGCCATATCTTGTGCATGCGCATTATTAGAAGCTGTACCCCATTTCAATTTCAGATCAGATCTCTTGAAGATATTGGTGGGAAAGCTCAGTACGAGAAAGGTGGACGCCGAATTTGTCAAGTGTCGAGAGACTATCGAAACGTTGTTCAAGAATGACGATGATGGAACTTCATCTTTGGATGCGGTGAACATTTTAACGAGAATGATGAAAGGAAGAGGATACAGAGTAGACGAAAGTGTATTGAATACTTTCTTACATTTAAGATTATTATCGGAATTCTCTGGAAAGGCATCAACGAATCATGTCGATCATGAGGAAGACAGTTTTGGAGGCAAGAAACTCAAGGAAAAGAGAGTATTCCGCACCAAAAAGGAGCGAAAATTAATGAAGGAACGAAAAGCGGTTGAAAAGGAGATGGTTCAAGCAGATGCAACAGTCAGTCACGAAGACCGCGAGAGAATGCAGTCAGAAACCCTGAAACTAGTGTTTGTGACATATTTCCGCATTCTTAAAGTACGTTCACCATCTCTCATGGGTGCTGTACTTGAGGGTTTAGCTCGATACGCCCATCTCATCAATCAAGATTTCTTCGGTGATCTTCTCGAAGCGCTTAAAGATCTCATTGGTCATGCCGAGACAGGAGATGATCTTGAGGAAACCGAAGCAGAAGACGAGGACTCCGAAACCTCTCGCAATCTCACCCGTGAATCTCTCCTCTGTATCATTACCGCATTCGCACTTCTAGAAGGCCAAGACGCCCACAAAGCTCAAGCCTCGTTAAGCTTAGATTTAAGTTTCTTCATCACCCATCTTTACCGCACTCTCCACGCTCTATCTCTCAACCCTGACATCGAACTCTCCTCCAAATCCCTCCATCTACCAGATCCAAACGCCCCCTCAACAACCGACAATAAAGTCAACATTCAAACCACGACCGTTCTTCTCCTCCGCTCGCTCTCCTCCGTCCTCTTACCGCCCCTCGCTGCCCGCGCTGTCCCACCCCTCAGAATCGCGGCTTTCACTAAACAACTCATGACATGCTCTCTCCAACTACCCGAGAAATCCGCTACCGCAATGATGGCTCTGTTAGGCAAAGTTGCTAAGATTCACGAGACCAAGGTGAAGAGTCTCTGGAATACAGAGGAGAGAAAGGGTGATGGAATGTTCGATGGATGTAGTACTGAAGTGGAAGGAAGTAATCCCATGGCAAGCACTATCTGGGAAGGAGAATTGTTACGACTACATTATTGTCCTGCGGTTAGAGATGGGATGAAAGTGGTGGAGAAAAATGTAATTGGGTTGAGATGATCACCTAGGTTTTGCATTAAAAAAATTAAGCAGAGTGTGGATAATGTGTACGAGATGAGGTTGAAATAAAATGCATATTTCTAGATCATTTTTTGTTCTGTGTGGTATCCTAAATGGGGATTGTGAATTATTAATTAATACAAATGTGTGAAAGAATTTGGTAATATAGTTATACATGTTCGCAATCCCTCAATGTAATCTAGCCATCCATTCTCCCAGGTATAAGGCTCCAACGCCAAAAATACACCCTTGTCTATCAATCTGTCGTTATGAGGCGCCCACCTCCAATCCTCATTTCCGTCGAAGTCGAAAATGTGGATAATGTCTCTCTCTGTACTGTACCTCCTCACAGATATAATCAAAATACTTGAACATCCATACTTTCCACCACTCCATTGCATTATTCACCAAAGACATCTCTCTATTCACAAACTCTCCCAAAAATCTCAAAACGCCTTCCCTATCCCCATCCCCCCTCTCTCCCCCATCAACCTCTCCTCCTCCTCCCTCCCCCGTCCCAGAACCACAATCCTCCCTCCCTCCTTCCCCTCATGCACATGACTAATCTGACTCAACATCTGCGCGAATTTCCGATCCGTCGTCGCCTGGCTTTGCCAATCTAGAGAGGTGAGCGCGGACAGCGTAACAGAGAGTGCGTTGATGATTATGCTGGTTACTATTAGAGCTAGGAGAGGTTAGTTAGGGGCAAGGAAATAAGGAAATGGGTGGGTAGGGGGAAAGGAATGATAGACCTTTCATATCGGCAGCGGAACTGGGCTTTAAGGATGCGATGGAGGATATGACGAGAGAGGCGATAGAGAGGATGACGGAGGCGTAGACGGAAAAACGTTTCCAGAATTTGGCGGTGACGAAGAAGGGTTCCTGGGAAGGGGTGGGGTTAGTATGTTTGTTTTGGGGGGCTTGTGTAGATAGGGTGATGAGAAATAAGAATCGCTTCTTTGGGTGAATGGAAATTGGAGATCTGGTAGATTTAAGTGGTAGGGTGTCTTGATATCATTGTGGAAGACTTTTCGCCATGCGATAATAGAGACAACTCTGCCTCTCATGTATCGCCAGCATCATCCTTTCCGTTGTAGACGGCGAATTTCTCAAAACCTTTCAATTCCCTTTCCTAAATAAAACTCCTTCTCTCTACTATCCCTCCAAATCCCATCGCACCACATCCCAACATAAAAACAATCAAACAAATCAAAACGTGACATCCAAGTGCAATCCATTCTCTACAACAATAGCAACAACAATATAAAAAAAAACCACAAACCTTAATAGGAAACAATCCCGCAGCATCAAGAAGCATATCCTCATTTTTCACATCTGAAGTGATCCCCAAGCTTTGTGGCTTTACGCGTTCTTTCCTCTCCAGTCGTGCCTCGAACATTTTCTCGGGAGGGAATGCTAAGGTTACTAGAATAGCTGGAGCTGGAGGTGTATGCGATGCTTATCTTATCTTTCTTTCTCGGTAGTTGATTGATTGTGGCGTTTCTCGTGTATATGTTAAGGTAAGGTTGTCTGTGTTTGTGTGTATGTGTATGCGCAATAGGTAAGTCGAACCAAAGACGGAATTTTTGATGCGTTGATTTGATGGGTGAGATGGATATGGATTGGATATGAATACAGATAGACGACAGAAAGAAAGAGCTGGACTATAACATAACCGACACTGGGAGAAATCGATGACGTGGATGCACGACTACAGTGCGATAGGAGTGAGATACATACATGCATACATACATGCATGCATGAAAGGCAAAAGAAAGTATAAAGAGTTGCGGGGAAATTCAATATGTGATTCAGAAGTCGGATCGCGGATATGCAGTGCAGGGTCGTGTGATGAGGTTGGGGAGGGATGCACGCTGCGTGTTTGTCGGGTGGTTGGGAGAGGGAGAGGTTTATTGGTCGTGGTGGAACTTGAATGAGATACGACCGAGTAGGTAAGCGTTCGACGGCCATGCTGCATTTGTATATGCGTGGAAATTGTGAGGTCGGTAGACAGATAGATGCTTACTGGTGATGTATGCACGAGATGGGGTCGGGTATCGCATACTTTTGCATTGAAAAGGTCCTTGCAATTTCAAGGTTTATCGGATTTTGGTGGTTTCGAATCGAAACGTGAATATCATCATGACGAAAATGTTAATCTGCAAGTCATCAAGATGCGAGTGTGATGGGACAATTGTTCAATCTATTCGTATGTATGGTATTGAAGTGCAAGTATATTTTGTATTGGTGATGGTGGGTAGGTATCTATCAATCTAACTTCCGTCCTCCAGGTCTCCTCCGATCTTCAAAAAGTCGCAACCCTTGACTTCAAACTTCCGCCCCGCCCTCTGGTCCCGCCTTCTCATTCTTCCCATTCTTCCCATCACTCTTTCCCCCAATCTTCTTCCACCCCATTCCCCACACAAACAACATAACTCCCGCCGCCAATCCCGCCGCCAAGTAAAAACAATGATTAATCGCCGGATTATACGCCGTCACCACATTCATCACCTGATCCTTCGGTATCACATTTCTATACGCCGTCGCGCCCGCTTCAATCACCAGTTGCGGATCCACCGTGGGCGCATAAACTCGCAATCCGGATTTGAGTTTCGCGGCGAAGATTGTAGATGCGAAAGTAAGACAGAGTGCCCCGCCGAGGTATTGGAAAAATATCACGAGGGTTTGTGCGATGACGATTTTGGTCCCGGTGAGGTTGTTTTGGATGGCTATTATTACCTGTTTTTTTTTTATCAGTGACGGAATTACAGATGAGATGGGAGAGGATTCAAATAACCATTTGCATAGAGAGACCACGACCGATTCCACCAAGGATCTGATAGCCGATCCATTTCGATGCTGGAGTGGAGGGTGTGTAGGTGGATATCAAACCATATCCTATCGCGGCAAAACATCCGCCCACGATACTGAAGGGAAGATAGTAGCCTATTCTTTGCACTACACGGATGTCAGATCACCGATTCCAATCTCAGAGATAAGATGGGGAACATACCAGCAAACCCCGAGATAATCGCAAACAACATTTGTGATAAAATCCCCGGTAAAGTATACACTCCACTCATCGTCGGTTGTACACCCCTCACCCCCTGAAAATAAATCGGCAAGTAATAACTCAATGTCAACATACCTGCCATAAACAAAAAATTCGTACAGCAGCATGTCCACACGACAGTGTTTCTCACAAGAGATAAAGGAATCATAGCTTCATCTCCCGCGCGATATTCGCGGTAGAGAAACAGGAGAAAATTGAAGAACGATCCAATGAAAAGTCCGGTTATGTGAGAGGATGACCAGGGATACATTGTTCCGCCCCATTCTAGAGCGAGAAGAAATTGGATGGCGGTGGGTGCGAAGAGGAAGAAGCCTAGGAGATCGAGGTGTTGGATTCGTTGGAGAGGGGTGAGGGTTAGGGCGGTGGGGTGGAGACGCTCTGGGATGGTGATGGAGAGGAGAAGAAGACTGACGAGGAAGCCGCATGGGAGATTAATGTAAAAGCCTGGCATTGTCAGTTATCGTGGGACTTTCATCTTCAAGATACAGAATGAAAGTAGCATTATTCTTGGATTTCAAGCTGATAATCAAGAATAATCGTCAGAGAGTACACTCAAGTGCAAACTCAAGACAGCAAAAGAAAGAGATATCATGTATCTCCAGGGAAAAATTTAAAAATCACAAAATCAAACCTACACCATCTCCAACTAGCATACTGCGTCAGCGCCCCCCCAATCAACGGCCCCACCGCCAACGCCAACTGCGCCGTCGAAATCATAAATCCCAAATAAACCGGTCTCTTCTCAATCAGCACCGCATGCGTCAAAATCGTAATCGCACCATTCATCAAACCCGCCGAGCCCATGCCCGCAACCGCTCGTCCCACAATCAACATATCCGACGAAACGGCCGTACCACATATCAAAGAACCAAATTCGAAGAGGAAGAAAAAGGAAAGGAATACATATTTGGAACTGAAATATGTGTAGAGTTTTCCCGAGAGAGGTTGAAGTGAACAGTTGGTGATCAGGTAGGCGCTTCCGTACCAGCCGACGTCGGGGAGGGAGTGGAAGTGCGAGGTTATGCGGGGGATGGCCTGTGTTCGTGTTGTGTTGGGTTAGTTTTTGAACTTGTTGCTTTTGGTGTCGGGTGTGTATATGTGGAAGTCATGCTTTCAGATCCTCAGATGAAGCATACTTCTTCGTTGATGAGCATCACCATAATCATCCCAGCTTCGAGTGCAATGGCATTGCTGGCCACAGAGTAGTCGCATGATCATCATGTCTAGCGAATAACACCAGATCCAAAACGACATCAACACAAACACCAAAGAAGAATAAACACCCTCCCCCTCCACAAACTAAATTAAATCAAAGAAAAAAACTAAAAACTCACAGTAGCAACAATCGTCGTATCCAACAGCGCCAAAAACGTCGTAAGTGTAATGGCAGTCATGACCACCAAGATCCTATATCCAGAGATATATTCATGATTTTCATCTCCATCTTCTTCTCCCCCATTTCTCTCATCTCTTTTATCCATCTTGTCCGTTTTTTCCGAAGAAACATCTTCGCTTTTGAGAGGAGACTCCATACCTGCGATCTCTCCTTTTTCTTTTTCTGAAGATTTGCTGACGGGTAGAATGTAAAGTGTATGAGCGGATTTGGAAATTCCAATGTCATCTGAATTTGAGTTGGATGTAGTGTGTAAATTCGAGATTCCTTGGACCTCTTTTTCCGAATCTTTCACTCGAGACATCGTATCGTATCGTATCGTATCGTGTATATCCAGTGCAGCTGAACTTTATTTTAATATTTCTTGTCTATCTTTCAGGGGTGATTCGATTCGATCTGATCCGATCCGATCTGCTGTATGTACCTATATATGCAACTCGACGATTCCCCAATCTTCAAACGTGCTCACCGGTAAGAAATTTACACGCACACTCGAGAAAGAGACACAAATTACTTGAAAAATAATCGGAACGATTGATCCCCTAAACTAATAAATAAATAATTGATTATATTAACGAATTTATCAATGAATGCTCAGAAAATAAAGTTTAAGAAAAAGTCCTTCATTCATTCATTCATTCATTCATACATCTATTTATTTATCTATCTATCTATACATATATATAACCCACCCAGCTGGAGATATAAGAAGCAGCCTCAAAATCTGACTCTGACTCTGAGCCTGATCGGGAATTTTCAAAATACACAATTCCCGAGCCGATTGTTTGGTGAAACTCCGATACCTACCCGGTCTTTGCGTCAAGGGGGCATGTATATGATATGCGGCTTATTTTTATAGATGGGATGGATTTGGATTTGGATTTTGGGTGGGTAAGATGATGGATGGGGTTTCGGGGGTTAGATAGTAGTGTAGTGTGGTTTGATGATGGGTGTGTTGAAGTCAATGGAGATTATATCGAGGGAATTGAATTGAATTGATTTTCGGCTGCTATGTAATTATGTGGAGTTTTTAAACGTGTGGTATTGAGTTGAATGTGCGAATTTTATCTGTCGTGTTGTTTTACAAAACTTCAGAATATAGGGACTGATTTATGGGATTTTATTCGTTCTCTCGAGATTGTTTCGTTGATCGTTTGTTTTTAATATTATACAGTACGTGAATATTGAGATGAGAAGCTCGATCCATCCAGCCCTGCTTTTGGATCTTCCTTGAAGTACCATTCTAGAATATCCCATTTTCTTCCGAAATTCCTCGAACACCTGTAAATATCATTCGTTCCCTAGTGTTAAATTCAAGTTTAAGCTGGAGCCGGTCCAGTTAGATATCACACTGAGCTCCCCACGCACCAAAAACATCCTGCCACCATCCATCATCCCATAACTCCATTCCCATATCCAAATTAAATGTTGGGAGATCGAATCCCTGACCCTGAGTCTGAGGTAAAGATTCCGTGCCCATATTTCCGTTTCCATTCTCACTCCCGTTTACATTCGCAAATTTGTCACTTGACACATTACTCGAAGCTTCTCCCGCTACCTTAGCATCCCACCACGTCTTGATCAATCCAATTCTCTTCGCGTTAGAAGTGTAAATATCAACATCGTCTACCTTGATGACTCCAGCATCCAGTCCAGCTTCACCTTTAACATTCTCCCAAATCTTTATGATTTGATCTAGAACGAGCGAGAGATCAAGTTGTTGACGTACAAGTTGGACATCCCATTGCGGATCTTCAAACACTGATAGACGATAGAGAGCCACCATGCAGTGCGCCATGTGTGTATAGATTGGGAAAGAAAATGACGTGTGATCTCTACATGGTGTGGAAAAGTAAAGTTCAAACCATGATTTGACAGATTGAAAACAGATGCAGAGGGATTCTAGGCGTTGGGAATCCGGCATATCAGCATGAGGCTCTTTGGAGAGAGCGACTTCATGGATCGTAAGTTCAGTGTTGTAAAGATGCATCAAAAAAGTACCTGTGTGTGATAGGTTAGCACTGGACATGCATGGACAACTTTCATTTATTCACTTACAGTTTTCTCGAACTTCATTTGGAATTTGTTGTCTGAATGTTTCCATCTGATTTTTTAAAGCCTTTAGATAGAAAACGGCAGGTGCTTTGAAAGCGGTACTCCCATCGCCTGCCGTGTCGTACCACGGAGCGTCCTTCACATGCTCTTGAATGAGTTGTAAGCGCACGATTTGGGTCATGAGCATATCATGAAGAGACTCCGGCTTTTCCGATAGTATCTTTAAACATTCATCTGCGTATGACGTCCATCGGAGAGTGTCAATCTTTTGGACATACAATGAAAAGCTAAACAAAATTAGAAACGCCTCATAAATTAGATCGAAAGAAAGTACCTGGAGCTTAGAGAGTACAAGCAAAGTAAAGCTCGTTTTTCTTGCTGTGATCCTATTGCAGATATAAATGGCTTCGGGCATCCTCGGGCGTCGAAGTTCAAGAGCAAATGCGGTGCCTCTTTCTGTGGTGCCTTGTTTAATCCGAGATCGAATGCTAGTCCCATAGCAAGTTGGATCATACTACTCCACTACAGAGCAAAGGGTCAGAAAATGTTTCATACTAGAAAATTAAAAGATGACTTACCACTGGTCTCTGCTGATAATGGCATTGGCTCCTACTCAATGTTAATATTCAACCGTCAATCAGATATTCAGCTCACATACCATGCAATATAAGTCAACAATCCCCACAAAAGATCAAGATTGCGCTCGCCAGAAATAAGCAATTTTTGGCCTAAAAGCTGACGAATATGCATCCCTAATGCGACTTGTCTCGAAGTACTCTTTGCCGTAGCCATTACAATAGCCAACCACCAAAACGGATTCTCTTTCTTGAATTCATGGACATCTGTATCTGGTGATATGATGATAAATGGTAGATACCTTACCGAGTTAGTTCGAAAGTAATAAAGTGCATTCTCTTCTTCTATCGGAGACAATGCTAGACCAGTGGGAATGAGAGACGTAGGTGAAGTTGTCGTAGGTATATTGGTAGCACAATAATCACCACTAGTATCACGGAGAGATCTGCCAACCGCCGGTCCTGGTAGAGGTGGGTGAATAGGGATAGAGTTCAAACTGTAGGAACTATTGGCCGGAAGTTTTAGGTCGACAGCTGCTAGTCCTCTCACGGGCGGGTTACTAACGTTTGATCCAGTCTGATACTTGCAAGGCTGAATATCATCTCTCAGATTCGATGACACAGTATGATCTGATACCGTTGAAGAAGGAGGGGTATTTTGATCTTGAGTAGCTGCAGTCAACAACGAAACTAGCCCATCAAGCTTTTGCTCGAGCTCGGCAGTTCTCGCAGCTGCAGTTCTCTTCACCGGCTTTCGTCTCTTTGTTCTGGTGATTGGTTGGCAGTCTTTGGTGAGTCTATGGCATCTAAAGCGTATCAGCTTACCTCTTGAATAGCTCAGTCGTATAAGGGTTGAGATAGAGATATATCATGCCAGTAAACTGTCGCACCCTTTTCCGATCGATACATGAATTCTAAATACATTGTGCTGTTTGAAGGTTGGACAGCATTTCCATTTCAAACCCGCCAAACTCGAAATAACAATGAAACGACACAGTTTCCAAATTTTAAAATCGGCAAATTGACTCGGCATTCTGAAAAACACAGACAGAACCGGTATATGCAGGAAGAAACCCACCAGCAATCCCAGTACCATGGAATCGGAACCGCATCACGTGATATAACCTTAATCGTACATACCTTTCGCAAGCAGCAACACCATTCTTTTCTACACATTTAACCTTGGCTTTTGCACAATTGACACAAGCTTTTCCATGTTTAGATATCTTCGGCGTTACACCGTTCTCCATGGGAGACTCCTCCATTTTCTTAGCACTACGAGCTAGCAAGCCGTTCGACCAATGAGAAGGGCGAGTGATAGTGCAACCAAACGTATGAAGACGGGAAAGGGAAATGCTTTCGGAACTTGATGATTGAGATATCCTATCGTACGGAGATTCAGAAGAGGATACTGGAATCACATTTAATGAGAAGTTGTTGTACAGTAGATCAATAAGCAAATTAATTATAAGGGTCTTTTCAAATATGAAGCGGAGTTTAGGTTGATTTTGAAACTCCGTGTCCGAGATGGATACGGAACTTCGATCTCATCAAACGTGCTTTATTGGATGTGCTTACCTCCACCACCTCAACATTTATAGTTGTCTGTTGATTTTGACGTGAAATGTTCACGTCAGTCAGAGAAGAAATCATGCTTCTATCTCAACATTCAACTTGTATATAGCGTATTATACGAATCATTTTATTCAAAACGATATTAGATGATAATAATCAGATTTTTATTATTATTATGGATTTGTAGAAGCAAATCAAGTGATTATATACTCTATATATTTATCACGGAGGTAATAGCTATATCTAATAATCACTTTGATTAGGGAATAGGTATATAGAGTGATAATAAACTAAATTGACTTAAGATATGATTCTAATAATCATACCTGCTTTATATACCCTGATTAAGCAAAGTACTCGTCTAATTAAATATATAAGGTATATAAATAAAATGAATAAAATAATATTAATAATTATGAAAATAAATATTCCAAAGAAATACTAGGATTAATACTTGTAAGATTATATTATACAATGAATTCTATAATATACCCTCCAAATCGCTAAATACTTTAACAATTATACCAAATAATCTATATAATAAACAAACAAAAAATTCTTAAACAATAAATAATATAAATATCAATAAACATTTTATTTAAATAATTGCTATAAATTTACCTATTAAACAAACTTATTTATCAAATAAAGAAATATAAGATATATAAATATATAGAGTTTTCTATAAAAGAAAAAAATAAATTATATTATTGATTCAAATAATCTATAAAAAAGTAATAATATTAAAATAAAAAATTTAATCCTTTGAATTAATATATATCAGGAAACCTAAATCATATTAATTATTATTAATTAAACATTTATATCAATTTATTTAATTAATTTATATATGTAATACTTTTATAATAATAATAGAATTAAATAAAAATTGATAGATTTTAGAGAATATAATAAATCGAAATGATTATAAAAGGAAGATAGTTTTCTTTTTTTAATTTTTATATTCAATAATTCAATATATTTTTTAAATAAACCTTCTTGTATCAGAGAGTCCCCTAATTCCATTAATATTTCTACTCGATTTATAACCACCTTCCTGTATAATATATCGAAAAATAATATTTAATCTAATAAATCA